ATCCTCCCTCATCCCCCAATTTGGAAAATACTCAACTGCTTTTTTTTTTTCTTCCTGATGGCTCAAGTATTTTTGAAAATTGAACACATCAAATCCCAACAATGTTGGCCTCTTCAACTACTATTTCCAATACAGAGATCTATCTCTATGTCACTCCCAGTTTGCAAGAGGCCTCCATTCTAGCTTCTAATTACATGCTGACAGACTGGGGACAACAGATTCTGGATCTAAGCTCACTCGGTGGCCAGAAAGAAGGGGTGGAAACAATGAATGGGGCAGCAGGGTAAAATAAGTTGGCATTCCAAGAAACTGAACATGGACCAGCATGCCCTGGAAAACAGCTCGGGCTTCTGACATGCAAATCTTGGAATGCTGCTTCACTGATGTTCAAAGACTTAGACTGCTGGACAGGTGGGCTGACCCTGAAGAGGAAGGAAGAACACGATCATGGCTTTTATGCTATGCTATATTGCTCATTATCTGTTTGCTCCTATGACAATTAGAAAACAAATGAAACTGGCCAACTGCATGACCATTCATAGGAAACTCAATTAATTAAATATTAAACATGTAATTCTCCTCTGGAAGCTAAGCCTGATTTGGGGAGCCAATTACTAGGACAGAGGAATACAAAGTTATAAGAAAAAAATCCCAGCTGTACCACTAAAAATGTAATATGCACAGGTCCAGTTCATACTCCAGAGAACATTCCCACTGTTGGAGAGCCAAGACTGACACAGATCCTTGCTTGAAAGCATGTTGTGGCAAACTCCAGTTTACTGCCACGTAGTATGTAGAGTGGCAGTGGGAAGACTGTGATGTTCCTATGGTATCAGGTAATGAAAGTTGCATTGCGGATGTCAAGATAACAGGCATCTTAAGCCACCAGTTATACCAATCAATAGTTCTATTCAGAGAAGACGCTCACAGAATACATTTGTTTTTGGCTTTACAACTGCTAAGAAAAGCCAGAAAAATATTTTTATGTTCCTTCCACTTCATGGTATTTGGAATCTGAGGGGGGAAAAATCGCCTTGCAATTTAAAGCAATGATTGTTTCCCAACAGCAACACAACAAAATGAAACGAAAAGCAGCGCTCATTTAAGGATGCAAATGGCTAACTCCTGTGCGGGCATCCCCGAGGACTACCAGAGAAACAGAGTGTCCATTAGCAGAGCAACTGTCCTCATCCACTAATAGTAGTTCCCTTCCTGTCCTCATTTTGCACTCTCTAAATGGTTAAGTGACTTCAGGGGAGGTGAAACAGTTGCTCCTCTGCTCCATATTGCAGTCATCAATCCAACCACACAGCCAACCTCTCCCTCATACTGGGGAACAGATCAAAGTTCTTTGGTCCCTGGACCCACCTAGAAACAAGTCTGTAAGATATATCAAGCAATCAGCTTTTTTTTTTGCCTTTGTCCCCCTTATTTACAGATAAAAAGGGAGGCTCTGTGTTATTTGTCGGTTTAAAAAAGAAAAGACGTGTAGAAAAAGCTTCCCCACAAAACACTGAACGTTAGAAAACCTGGCAGATGTAGACTATACACAGCTTGGGATAAACACGTGGCTCGCAAGATTTCTGCCAAAGCACCAGGAATTGCTTCCAAGGCCATGGAGCCCTGGATGTGGCAAAAATACAGAGATCTGGCTATTTGCTCTTGGGTAACTGCAAGAGAGAGCTCTCTGAGACTTCCCACCAGAAAGCGGTGTGAATGTAGACACATCCTTCTCAGTCCAAAAATCTCTGGCATGCTTTTTTCCATCGGCAGGCTGTGCACCACTGGTCTCGGTGCTCGATGCCATAAACTTTGCGGCACTTCTTGGCTTCGCCACGGACTTTTCTAGAGAAAACAACAGACAGAAAACCAATGAATATATGTAGCGACTGAGGCCTAAGTCTCTCTCATCTAATATCCTTTCAAATACAAACCCTGGGGCTGAACCCAGGGCTTTCTACCCTCAAATCTTGACAGCTACTGTTCTGTCCCATCCACAAAAGGGCTTTTGTTATCCCACCAGAGCTTGCAATGGAGCCTATATACAGGTAGTCCTTGCTTACCAACCATTCATTCAGTGACCATTCAAAGTTATGACGGTGCTAAAAATGGAGATTTATGACCAGTCCTTGAAGTTGTGGCCACCGCAGTGTACCCACAGTCATGTGATTGTGATTCAGGCGTTTAGCAACCGGTGTGCATTTACAATGGTTGCAGTGTCCCATGGTCATGTGATCACCATTTGTGACCTTCACAGCCAGCTTCCAACAAGCAAAGTCAATGTGGAAGCCAGCAGGAAGTCACAAGTCACGGTCACATGACACTGCACTTAACCACCACGGGTGAGTTGTTTCACGCCTGTGGCTGGAACTGACATTGTAAGTTAGCATGGTCACGTGACATTTCACTTTACAACTGCACTGCTTAGTGATGGAGTTGCTGATCCCAATTTCAGCTGGTAAGTGAAGACTACCTGTACTAAGCTATGGCTCACATAATGACAGTTCAGATAAGCCACAATTGCCACAATCACACATTATCTATCATTTTCCATTCTTATTTTTCCTTTAAAAAGTAAAAAAATAGATTGTGCTACTGAAAATCAATCATTTAGTTTTATCTATTTATTTAAAAAACTAGAAATCAAAGCCATTTTGCCACCAAATTTCAGCAGCACAATCTAAAGGTGTTTTGAAGGCCAGATAATGCAGGCTGCAGCCTGCCCATCTCTATTGTAATTAGGGCTGATGAAGCACAATGCTGGATTCACACATAGTATCTAGGCATTATGCTGTTGTTTACTGTTTACTGTCATGTGTGAATCTAGACATTTTGCCTCAGATGCAAATGACAGAACACATAAATCTGTCTTATGCTCAATCAGGCCACTGATCCAAAGAACCGTAGCCCAAGCTTGTTTACTTCTGTTGGCAGTAGATATCCAAGATTTCAAGCAGAAAGGTCTTCCTCTGAGCCCTACCTAAGCCAACAGCACATCTTCAAAACATCTAAAGAGCCATCCCACACTTTTTTTTCTGAGCATATCTGACATATGTGGTTTCCCAGCCCTGCCTGAAATAACTCAGTCTGTCTTCCCCAGTTCTTACCTAGTGCCACTGGGTGCTCTTGGGGGGGATGCAACAATCAGGTGGGATTTCAGCACTGGAGGTGGGGGTGGCTGTTCACTGAAACTCAAGGACCGGCTTCGAACCTGCAAGCAAAAACCTTTTGATTTGTTTGGGTTTTATTATTGTGCTTTACACTATTATGGGTGGGTGTGTTAAAAGGCTTTGAAAGGCTTTTCTAATCAGGTGAAAGTTTTAAAGTTTTTAAAAGTACATTTTATTTAAATACTTCAAAAGCATTTTCTTCTTTAAAATATCAAGTGTCCAGATAACTGGTGCCCTGCTGGATCAGAGAAATTCCTTCTAGCTCAACATTCCTTTTTCTAAGACAATACTTCTGGGAACAACACACGCTGCTATTATTTTGAGGTACACTGCTTCTCAATGCAGATATTCCCTTTAACTCTCATTTTCTCTTCTACTGGCCACAATCCCCCTAAAAGGCCTTCTCCAACAAAGCCAGCCACAAATGTGAGTTTTTCACAGATATATAAGGAAGCATCCAATTTGGAGAGTGAAAAAAAGATTTCCTTTTTCCTTATTCTCACTTTGAAATGTGTCTTTACAGTGCAAAGGGTAGGCATGTAGAGAAGAAACAACAGGTGGTATTTTATTGGAAGGACCCCTTCTCCCATATGCTTTCCCCAACTCGGCACCATCCAGAATTGTAGGATTCAGAAATTTTGGGAACTGAAGTCCTCAGGTTGGAAGAGGCTGCTATAACTCAACAGCAATTTGATTAGGTCTCCTTTCTCCCCTCCTGAACCACTTTCAACTGACCCACCCAATCACACTGTTTCACAAATGCTGCATCATACTCTTAACTGATAAATGCATGCCATCTGCTTGACTTCTTTTTTTCTCTCTCAGTTCAACTCAAACCAAAGTTCTTAGTTTCGAAAGCTAAAAACTTCCTGTCCAGCAATTTGGATTCGATGTTCTGGAAAAGTTTAACTTACAAACGGCTTATTTTGGGAGGGAGGGAGGGAGGGGGGCATTTCTCTGTCAGGTTGACAGGCAGTTGAACTCTTCCGTTTGCTCATACAGAGAAAAGAAAATCTATTTTTAATTTGTGGCAGCAAATTTCGTAAGATAATCATGCATAATGGGATCTTAAAAACCACAGCTTTCTCAAAACATGCCACCCATCAAGTATGTGTAATATATTCCTGAAACAACCCTCTGAACTAATTCAGATTCTCTCTTTAGGTATAATAAAAATGTCAGACTCACCGGTGAGAGGGTGGGGATGGTCGAGGTTGCAGCAGCCCAGCTGATGCTGGTGAATATGTGTGGGGATACAGGAATCTGAATAGATGGGAGAGCCTGAGTGGAGAAAAAATTCTGCCTTAAGGAAAGAAGGGGATTTTCATGTCTACTCTGTGTTCCACCATGAATTTTCTCACACTTAGAATCCTAGGGCTGGAGGGGACTTTGAAGGTCTTCCAGTCCTGCCCAAGACAGGAAGCATCAGACCATCCCAGACAAATGACTATCCAACCTTTGTTTAAAAACCTTCAGTGATGGAGCACCCATAACTCCAGGAGGCAGGCTGTTCCACTGCTTAATAAGGGCAGGAAACTCCTTATTTTAAGTCTGGATCTCTCTCTGTAGAGCAGTGTTTCTCAACCTTGGCAACTTGAAGGTGAGTGGACTTCGACTCCCAGAATCCCCTAGCCAACAGTGCTGGCTAGGGGATTCTGGGAGTCAAAGTCCACCCACTTCAAGTTGCTACGGTTGAGAAACACTGTAGAGTTTCCACTGGTTCTTGTTCTGCCCTCAGGCACGTGGTAAAATAAATCCACACCCTCTTCCCCATGATAGCCCTTCAAGTATTGAAAAACTGCTATCATGTCTTCCCTTAGCCTCCTCTTCTTTAGGCTAATCATACCCAATTCCTTTACTGTTCTTTATAGGACGAACACATTAACTTTGCATTATTCTTTCTCTCTCTAACCCATTGCCCCAAAAGTATAAGCAAACAGAGAAAGAATAGGAATGCTTAGAAAGGTAGTCGCATTTATCTTATTATTTGAAACTCGAACCATCCACCTTGCTACCACTACTCTCAGAACTGTAATCCTACCACTTAACTACCAATCATAACTGAGGGGCTATTTTATTTATTAAGGTGAACAATTCCACAGAAGCTACAGAAAAACTCCAAGCACCCTCTGGAAGTATGCAGAGATTCCAAACACTGGAGTGCAAGTGGGCACTCCGCTTACCTGGTAGGCATGGTCAGCCTGGATGTGCCAGAAAGAACTGGGGGCAGACTGGCTGAGAGCACTGTTGGGCAGATGAGGCTCCAAGGGGGTTGCCTGATCCAGAACAAGAGCCTCTGGCTGAGAGGGAGCCTGCTGGATGACAATGGGAGAGGACCCTGCAGTGGGGTTGGGAGCGGGCGCAGAAGATTCCGGAGGTGCCTCCTCCTCCTTCACTTGCATCTCAGTGTAGTAGAAATCCTCTTCCCGTTTTCTCTGGTCAGAGTTGGCCCCATCTCTGCAGGCATTGAAGAAAAAAGGAGAAATGGAATTAACAAAATAACTCCCAATTAACATTTTCCAATGTTTTGTTATCAGAGATGTAAGAACCTGGATTTTTTCCCCTAAATGTAAAAGCAAAGGAACATTTTATTTTGGTAGTTTTCTTCTTACAACCACATAGTAGACAAGTTAATACCATCTCTAGCATTTCTCCATCAGCTCTGCCAATCCTCCTTTGTCCACTGAGATGGGGACACATTTTCTGGTGAATTCTGATGGTTCTGACATTCCTCTATGCTTGTCAGCAGAACCAAGAACTATTTTATGGAATTACAGTATATGTTTACTTTCTTTCAGGGTAACATTTCTGATGCTTGTCAGCAGAACCAAGAACTATTTTATGGAATTACAGTATATGTTTACTTTCTTTCAGGGTAACATTTCTGATGCTTGTCAGCAGAACCAAGAACTATTTTATGGAATTACAGTATATGTTTACTTTCTTTCAGGGTAACATTTCTGATGCTTGTCAGCAGAACCAAGAACTATTTTATGGAATTACAGTATATGTTTACTTTCTTTCAGGGTAACATTTCTGATGCTTGTCAGCAGAACCAAGAACTATTTTATGGAATTACAGTATATGTTTACTTTCTTTCAGGGTAACATTTCTGACCATAGACTAGCAAAAGGAAGAATGCAGGACTGAACCTGTCTGCTCCAACAGTTGCAACAAGACAGAGTAATTTTTCAGGTACATTTCCTCCCCTTTTTGGTGCAAAGACTTTTGGAGCAGAACAGTTATCAGGTAAATACTGACCTTCCCCGTGGACTGCAGAACTCCCATCTATCTCCCTAAGAATTTAACATCTGAGTTGCTCTGGTATTATGGACTACTAAAATAATTTAGCTGCTGAAAGAACAAGTCAACAAGGGAACACTGAATTGGAGAACCAAAACGAAATGGAACTAAAGATCAATGAAAGCAAAGGAAGGTATTAAAAGAATGGGAAAGATATAATCAATTCTCCCCACCAGAGGGCCCCTCAACCACACAGCAAACAATTAACGTGATTTTGTTGCTGCAGGCCAGGCAACCAGGACTGCATTCAAAGCCAGGTTTTAAGCCAGAGAAATAGTCGGCAACACTCAAATCCAGACTAAATCACATTCTCCAGCTCACACACATAAAAAAAAGAGCCCAATTTGAACTAAATGACTCCCCACCAGAACAAGAACAGTTGATTATGCTCTTCCAGGAATACCCATTAAATATAATCCCCATCACATCAGAGAAGATGATTCACAGGCTGATGAACATATGAGGGATCACGTATCTCAAGGGCAGGTAATATGCTTGCAAGAAACCCCCATGGAATCTCCCAAGTTGCATCCCTACCTTTTTCTTTCCTAAAATTTTCAATTTCAACTCAGTTGAGTTAAATTTTAACTCAGTTTTAGGTTTAACTTAATTTTAATTTTTTTTTACTTCGATTTTAACTGAACTGAGAAGCTGGCATCCTAAATCACTATACCTTAAAACTGAATGGAATTTTAAAATCTCACAGATGCTCGTGACGGGTGAATGAATAACAGCATCATGCTTTGTTTAGAACTGTGTCCAACAGCCCCACATTAATGAAAAGAATGAATCATTCTCACACACATTCTGGGGAGCTACAGGATACCATGAAGCCCCTGCACCCATCTGCCCTGTGGTAACTGAGTGCTTCGTGACTAGCTGCACACACCACAGCAGGCATTTTGTAAGGATTGCTCCATGCTTTCAAAATTCCAAATGTGCCCAACCCCAAATGAGTAACTATCCCTGAGCTGTGCCTTTCCAGATACAGTGAGCCTGAACCTGGCCCAGTAAATCACCCATCGTATCACTTTTGCAGCCTCATAAAGGAAAGGTGGAGTATGATGTCAGCGGGGGTGACTGACAAACAGCAATAAATCCATGGAGTGACCAGAACTGGAATAAAAATGGGGATCCCAGCCTTCTCCTTGTATATGGTCAGCAGATACAAGGGACCATCCATCTGCAGCACACCAACATCCACCTTAAGTCCTGAGCCTTCCTTTGGGTCTAACTTCACCCTCTAGCAACGGTTCAGGAGGACCATCAGTGGAAGAAGCCCACCAAAAGTCCAGATTTGGCATCAAGGTCCCCCAGCTACAGCTCTGAAATACAATTATGTCTACCAGTGATCCTTTCCAGTATAACCATACAAATGTGGCTTAGTTGGAAATTAAGGACTTACCCCAGATGCTGGGTCTTCACGTGCCTCTTAATCCCAACAATGGAGCGAAGGACTTTGCCACAGCTGGGCCACAAGCACTTGTACATCACTTTCACTGAGTTCTAGAAGAAATACAACTCTAGGTCAATCAGTGGCCAGAACTAAGCTGCACAGAATCTCTCAGGATTCTAAACTACTCGGGACAGCACTGCTTTTCCCCTCTACTGAAGGTAATAGTTGATCTTTCACAGAAAGACTAAAGGATGGCCTGGTTTTAGATCAACTTTCTAAAAAAAAAAACAAAGTGACAGGCAAAACAAGTCTCCAGACCCTATTCACATCCAAACTAACCCATTTCCATCATTAGGCATTCAGAGTTAAAACAATTATGAACTAACAGTTGCCAAATAAATTGAGAATTAGGAAGGTATCGTGGTTAAGGCACTGGACTAGGACCTGGAAGTCCCAGTTCAGGTCTACCCCAGGCATGGAAGTCCACTTAAGTCAATTACTTCTCCCTCAGCCCCACCTACCCCATAGGATTGTTGCTTAGGTGAAAAACTGGGAGAGAGAGGGCCATACACAATACTGCGAGATCCTGAAGGAAAACAAGGATACGAAGGCCCTAACAAATAATTAAACAGGCATTTATGGAAGGGGTAGGAACAGTAACGATGGGGCCCTGATAGTAAAAATACGAATTCTGGGACAGCAGTCTTGTACAGGTATTTTTCTTTCTTGACCTGATTAGGGAGAAATCTGTATTTAGACCTGCAGCTTGTATGGAACAATTCTTTCACTGTCTTATGTTCACGTCACACACCTTTCTTTTCCTTGGAGCAGGCTCTTCAAAGAGGAAGGGATCCGAGTCTGTCTCAAAGCCATCATCAGCCCGAGGAGAACTGAAGGCCTCGTTTGAGTACTTGGGGCTGGCCTCTGAGTGTGGGGGAGAAGGGGTGGAGATGCCGCTCCAGTGCCCACTTGTGGTACTGCTCCCACCGTCCGACATGTCACCACTCTCTTTCCAGGCATCGCAGGTTGCTTGGGATGCTGAAGATAAGATGGGAGGATGGAGAAGTGAATCACTGTTTTATTGGGCTCTTGAGCAGTTAAGTCGATTCTCTACTCAGCTTAGCACTTTCATCACTTTTACGTAGAGGCACAGATGGAGGAAGGTGGTACTGAACAGAAGAGGTGGAACACCCAAGATTAAATTACTCTTTCAATGGCTAGAGAGGGCTCAGAGGATGATCTGCGCAACTCACTAATGGCTCAAGTGCTAGACAGGAAACCCCAAATTTAAATCCCCCTTTTGGCCATGAAGTTCTATAGGCCAATCACAGCCCCTGTAGTTCATTAAAGCAGCTACGAACCTAAACCGGAAGAAAAATGTACCTACTATCTTAAGTTACATGGAAGGCAGGCAGGAAATCAGCATAATAAACAATAATTCCTTGCCCCTCCCAAGGGCTTGCCAACTGAAGCACAATGCAGCAGGAAAATTCGTATTTTCATTCAGCACACAGTCTGCTTTTTTACTCTGTTAGCATTTGAGTTTTTAAAACAGATGTAAAGTATTCATATTGTAACTTTTGCTCCTAGGGAATTTGAGAAGATGAAAGAAAGTCACCTAAACTTGGAAAATTGCTTGTACAATGCTTTCCCTTAATTTAGTAACTGGGAACAGGGGAGCAGGAAGGAGCTAACAGATTATTAATAGCTTTATGTTAGTATTTCATCTGCAATGGCCCTATTCTATAATATAGAATGTGATACCTGGGGGGGGGGTTATACAAAAGATATAGGTAATCTGCTGTTTTTGGATGTTAGGA